GGGAGGGGCGCGCGGCTGCCCCTTGGCCGCCTCTCCTCTTCCACCACTTGGGCCCATCAGGCCCATTAACCTCCGGGGGGGTCCGGTAACCCCCCGGTACTCCAGTATATATCCGATAACCCCCGAAACCATTCCGGTGTCCGAATATAGTCGTCCAATATATCAATCTTTATGTCTCGACCATTTCGAGACTCCTCATCATGTCCGTGATCATATCCAACATATAAACTCATAATATAACCGTCATCTAACTTTAACCATGCGGACCCTACGGGTTCGAGAACTATGTAGACATGACCGAGACACGTCTCCGGTCAATAAACAATAGCGAAACCTGGATGCTCATATTGGCTCCTACATATTCTACGAAGATCTTTATCGGTCAAACTGCATAACAACATACGTTGTTCCCTTTGTCATCGGTATGTTACTTGCCCAAGATTCGATCGTCGGTATCTCAATACCTAGTTCAATCTTGTTACCGGCAAGTCTCTTTACTCGTTACGTAATGCATCATCCCGTAACTAAATCATTAGCTACATTGCTTGCAAGGCTTATATTGATGTGCATTATCGAGAGGGCCCAGAGATACCTCTCCGACAATCGGAGTGACAAATCCTAATCTCGAAATACGTCAACTCAACAATTACCTTTGGAGACACCTGTAGAGCACCTTTATAATCACCCAGTTACGTTGTGACCTTTGGTAGCACACAAAGTGTTCCTCCGGTAAACGGGAGTTACATAATCTCATAGTCATAGGAACATGTATAAGTCATGAAGAAAGCAATAGCAACATACTAAATGATCACTAAGCTAACGGAATGGGTCAAGTCAATCACATCATTCTCCTAATGATGTGATCTCGTTAATCAAATGACAACTCATGTCTATGGTTAGGAAACTTAACCATCTTTGATTTACGAGCTAGTCAAGTAGAGGCATACTAGTGACACTCTGTTTGTCTATGTATTCACACATGTATTATGTTTCCGGGTAATACAATTCTAGCATGAATAATAAACATTTATCATGATATAAGGAAATAAATAATAACTTTATTATTGCCTCTAGGGCATATTTCCTTCACCGAGAAGGGCTACGAGCCGGACTGCAAGATGTATGTCTCGGTTATTGTTCTCAGAGATAAAGCAGGATATATTTATCAAAGTACTTTTGTTCACTTACAACTCGGTTGAGGGCTGGTCCCCCCTGCGGGCGCTGCACGGTAAGGACGCCCTCTGGGGCAGGACCTCCGGGCAAGGGTTTCTTCCCTCATTTGTAAACCTCTGTTTCCAAGTCTTCAGAGGCGGCCCTTTTCTTCCCATGGGGAGAGGGGATTCTAGATTCTCCTCCCCGATTATCCTCCTTCGCGGAGACACTAATTCCCCCGGTTTGGATATGTAATGTATGAAGCCCGATTTCGGCTTCTCTATTCCCCCCTTCATCTTTTCCTGATGGCACTTGATAGGGTGCGCGCTCAAGCATCCTAGTTAGTACAGGATCCAGCGAGCCTTCGGGAAGGGGGGCCGAACACCTGATCCTCTCTGCCTTTCTTATCGAGTCCTGGCCGAGAGCAATTTTTTCAGAATGATGTTATGACAAATATAAAGACGGCATGTTCGGTCACAGAATTACTTACTTGGGAATCTGGACGGTTGCAGTTGAGACCCGCATCCTCGGTGGTGTCCGGACACTTTATTCGTGATCCGAAGAACAATCCGTACATCCATTCGAGCGTCACGCCAAAGAATTGTTGAATAGTTTGCGGTCCTTGTGGGTTGAACTCCCACATACGGAGAGATCGACGTTGGCATGGCAGGACCCGACGAACTAGCATTACTTGCATTACCTTGACAGGACTGACATCCCTCTTGAGGAGATCTCGGATGCGGCTTTGCAATGTCAGCACGTCATTAACTGGCCCCCAGTCCAGCCCTTGTTGACCCATGACGCCAGTTGAGGCGAAGGGCCCGAGCGGAAGGCACGGGCGGTTGCTCGCTTTGTACCTCGGGGAGTGGTGATGTAAAACCACTCTCGTTGCCATAAGTCGGACACCTCCGGGAAGGAACCCATTGGCCATAGGGCGTCGGTGCCTTTGCTTATTATAGCGCCTCCGCACTCCGCGTGTCGCCCGTCGATCATCTTCGGCTTCATGTTGAAGGTCTTGAGCCATAAGCCGAAGTGTGGGGTGATGCGGAGGAAGGCCTCACACACGACGATAAACAACGAGATGTGAAGGATGGAATCTGGAGCTAGATCATGGAAATCTAGCCCGTAATAGAACATGAGCCCTCTAATGAAAGGATCAAGACTAAAGCCTAGCCCTCGGAGGAAGTGGGAAACAAATACGACACTCTCGTTGAGTTTGGGAGTGGGGATGACCTGCCCTTGAGCAGGCAGCCTGTGCGGGATTTCGGCGGTCAGATACCTGGCCTCCCTAAGCTTCTTGATGTCCTCCTCTGTAATAGAGGAGGGCATCCACCGGCCTTGAAGGTTGGATCCGTACATGGTTGAAGGTCCGAAGCGCTTAGCCTGAGCCTTGGGTGTTGGAACTCGAGGTGGGAGAAGGGAAGGATCGAGCATGGGAAGAAAAGGACATGCCTTGGCCCCATTATAAAAAGGGTGAATATCAAGCGTCCTCCGCGTGGCTGTTTGGAACTTGCCTAAAATCGAGGAGTCATACTAAAAGGCACGGTTGGGTTACCCACACCCGTATTGATGAGGATCCCGTGATAAGGGGAACATGATCTCTGCTTCAACAAGACGTGCCAATAAAACCGCCTCGCAACACGTGCAGTGGCAGGCTGGAAAAAACGGTTCGTAATGACCAGGCCATGGCGTGATGTCACGCTATGAAAAGTTGTCAGCATATTAGATTGGTGGAATATTGTGCTCTCTACGGTGGTATGTGGAAATTATTTTGCAGAGCCGGACACGATCCTTGTGTTCAAAATCCTCTATGGAGTATTCGGAGAAGGAACCCGCCTTGTAATGCCGAAGACAATTTGCGCGCCGGACTCATCGTCATTGAAGCCTGGTTCAGGGGCTACTGAGGGAGTCCTGGATTAGGGGGTCCTCGGACAGCCGGACTATATACTTTGGCCGGACTGTTGGACTATGAAGATACAAGATTGAAGACTTCGTCTCGTGTCCGGGTCGAACTCTCCTTTGCGTGGAAGGCAGGCTTGGCAATTAGGATATGTAGATCTCCTTCTCTGTAACCGACTCTGTGTAACCCTAGCCCCCTCCGGTGTCTATATAAACCAGAGGGTTTAGTCCGTAGGACAAAAAACAATCATAATCATAGGCTTGCTTCTAGGGTTTAGCCTCTACGATCTCGTGGTAGATCAACTCTTGTAATACTCATATCATCAAGATCAAACAAGCAGGAAGTAGGGTATTACCTCCATCGAGAGGGCCCGAACCTGTGTAAACATTGTGTCCCCCGCCTCCTGTTACCATTAGCCTTAGACGCACAGTTCGGGACCCCCTACCCGAGATCCGCCAGTTTTGACACCGACATCTGGTTGAATAAGGATTGGGATGAAGTGAGCTCCATTTCTTTAAGGATTGGGATGAGCATGCGAGCTACATTTCATTCCCGCATACAAGAATACCTTTATAACATGTAACCAGAGAAGTTTTGACTACTTGAGGCTATGCACAATGTAGTAAAGGTACTGTATACTTGGTCATATGTTATAATTCAAATGCATGAAAGGCTCGTGATCTTATCTTCTAAACACGGAATTTCAAATGAAAGGAAGGTTCATGGTATGTTGTTCTGAACATAGTGTCCTCTTCTGTACAAAGAGTTCATTATCGATGCTTGACAGCTTTAAAATGCATGGTCGAAAGGAGAAAATAATGTTCTACTAATCGTTACCGTGTTGACTGATCACCATATCAAGTGAATGCTGAAAATGTGGGAAGTACTTGGCATGTCAGCTTTAGTTGAGGTTAGTGAATTGCTTTTTCATTATCGTCTATATATTCAAAGCCTTCAGGTCTCCATTTTTCACTACACTGAGTAATTCTATTTGATTTTACAGAATAAATAAAATGTATCTATAGTATGCCAAGCTGATGGAATATGTTCATTGTGTTGTTAAAGGTGCATTATAAAAGGGGAATGAGCGATAGATAACATTCTGTTTATTGACATGTATAATACTTTCCGGCGTTCGGCATCATGAGCAAAGTGGATAAGTGGAAGGGAGCAATCGCAGGAGGATAGTATGCGCACACAGCTATAAAGCTAGAGAATTTGGTTAATTTTATTTTATGAAGTGTATATATAACCTTTTAATCCAATGTCCGCTACATTGTACTCCTCAATTCATCTTTGTATGTATGTCACCAACTTCTATAATCAACCCAACAATTTGTACTCTTCGACAGTTCGTAATCTTCCGACCCTATTTAGTACTCCCTCCGTCCCAAAATTATTGTCTTAGATTTGTTCAAATGCGGATGTATCGAGTCACGTTTTAGTATTAGATACATGCGTATCTAAACAAATTTAAGACAAGAATATTGGGACGGAGGGAGTAAAATTTAACAACAGAAAGTAAACACGAACAACCAATAAATTAAGCTGCAATTCAGCCAACAACGGGCTCATACTTGGGTATGCCGCGCCTTCCGCCTGCTAGTTTCTCTTATTTGATGAAAGGTGTTTGGCCGCACCTTTTCCAGCTCCTCTTATTCGAAATTATAATTACAGAATCTATCTCCATCTATATACCATATTTACATCCTCGAAAGGACAAACAGAAGAACGAAGGTGAGCTCATTCTACATAAGACAAACTTTCAATCCTTCGAATCTACCAACCTTCCACGGCATCTAGATCACAGCAGCGAGAAGATTCAACGATGGCCATGGGAAAACCTGCAGCTGCAGTGTCCTAAGTCCTAACCCACGCGTCAGTATCAGCATCATCACCATTCGCCATTAACTCCTGCTTGACCAATGAGCCCACCTGTCGCTATCTCTCACAATGAGATCTCGAAGAGGTCAGACTCGGCTTCGAGGTCGCCGGCCGCCGTCGCGCCGCCGCCGCTCTCCTTCCTGCTCTTGCTAACCCGAGAGGCCTCCGTCCAGCCGGAGTCCACGCGGCCCATGGAGAACAGGTCCCCGCTGTCGTCGAAGTCGAGCCCCATGGACCCGCTCCGGCCCTCGCCCAGCGACGCGGACCGCACGAAGCACGGGTTGGCCGTGCGCCGCGCGTTGGCCGGCGCGTACCGGAACTTGCTCTGCCCGAGGTTCACCAGCGCCATCACGTCGAAGCTGGAGGCCAGCACCGGGTACAGCGGGCTGGAGAAGGCGTCGGCGTTGCAGCTAACCGCGTGGACGAGCTGTCCGTCCACCGTGAAGTACACCTTCCGCTTCGTCGGCTCGAAGCCGCAGCCCACGACCTTGTCCACCCCCGCCCACGCTGACTTCTCCGATTCGTACGCCAGCTTCATCCCTGAACAATCAACGAACCTGTTCAGCTCACGTTTGCAGTTTGCACGGCACGGAACAGTCGCGGCAACGCAAAGAATTCCGTAACAGAGTGCGGTTGTTACCGTCGAGGTAGACCGCGCCGTTGGAGTGGAAGCCGATGGACGACGCATACGTTCCGGCTAACGACGGCCGGGCCGGTGCGGCGGACCCGGCGGCGAGGCCCAGCGACATGACCAAGTGCCTCTGTTTGTCTCCCTGGTCATCTTTCGCGGCCCTGGTTTCCTGGATCGGGCCGGTGGTGTCCGGTGCAAAATTGATGAGCTTGCTGCGCTCGCTGTCGCCGGAGCCGTCGTGCCCACGCCTGCTCGTCCGGGACGCCGACCACTCCGGGCGCCGTGTGTTCAGATATATGATGGTGACCTCGAAGTAGGCGTCCTGCGGGAACGGCGTACCGTTCATCGGCGGCCCCGGTAGCGGCATGCCCATCCTGGCGATGCAAAGACCGTTGTTACTTGTCAGATCCTGGTCGTTGCGGAGGGGGCTCGACAGGCTTCCCGGGAGCCACTTCTTGCTGGACGCGGCGGCTCCGGCGGCCGCGGCCACGGGATTGAGCCGCACAGCCTGCAGCCGCTCGGACGATCCCACGGGGACCTCCCACGCGGCCTCAGCCATGTCGCGGCTGGTCCCGGCGTCACAGACCGGACAGAGCCCCCACAGCGGGGACGACGATGCCGACCTCGCCTTCGGCGGCGCCACGGCAAAGACGAACTGCGCCCACCCGTGCTCCGCCGCCCCGATCACCAGCCGCGGGTGATCGCCCCACTGGAACGGGCCCTGCTGCAGCGCGCCACCGCCCGGTCCCCGGTGCCTCGAATCGCCGCGGACATGGTGGTGGTGGTGCAACTGCTGGAACCGGACGCCCACGCGGCCGCTGCTGGCGGTGTACTTGGCGTTGAGCTTCGCCAGCCCAGGACTGGCCGACGGGTCGGCGCCGCCGACTTCACGAGCACCGACCGGTAGCTCCGGCGGCGCGTTACGGGGCATGTGCCGCCGGCGGTAAGCGTAGCACGCGGCAGCAACCAGCGCCGCGGCGGGGAGGGCCACGCCGAGGAGCAGCGTGAGCCATAGCGCCATATACGCGTCGTCCTACTGGGGGAACCGGAGCCGCGCCGGCGAGGTGGACATGGGCATGACGATGATGCTCTGTCGTGGGTTTCGGGCTGCGGGTCGGTTGATTCTGTCTTGTGCGTGCGGAGTTGTTTGGTGCGAGGCCGGCGGGGAAGGAAAGCTGACTTGCCTGACTGCCTCAACGGAACAAGCAAACAAGGGAATAGTTGAATTGAAGGTGGGGGCTTTTAAATTGCGCGACAGCGGCGTGCATTTGCTGATGGATGAGGGGCTATTGACCAGATCGACGGAGGCGCGGAGAGCCTTAGCTATCTGCAACGGGTGGATCGGCACGCCACTCTACACGAGTTTCTTCTTTCTTTTTCCTTTGTTTCTTTCTTTTTGTTCCTTTGTTTCTTTCGATTGTGCTACACGGTGTGTGTTACGTAGCTGGTAGGTTGTGGATGTGATATGTGAATGCTTTTTACTCCGTACATGTGTTGCAATGCAAACAACAAACCCTCTTAACTGTTGAGTGCGAAGTATCACTTTTAAGTTTTACGCAAAGAAATGTAAACATCGTTAGTACGGGTTAGTTTCAAGTAAATCATATCAAAATCATATAATATTGTTGTAAACATGGTATGCATATTTCATAAATTATAGATACGTTGGAGATGTATTAGCATCCCCAAGCTTAATTCCTACTTATCCTCGAGTAATTTTGATAAAAGAAATAATTTATAAAGTGTGAATGCTAGCATAGTGTGTAAGTTTATTTTCCTAGCATCATAACAACAACTCTTTCTCATGAAACTTCTCATGTTAAAGTAGCAACCAATTCACATGTTTTGGTTCAAAAAAGAATTCTCTTGAAACTAAATAACATATGTTCTTAGTCATCAAACAATTACAATTCAACTTATTCAACAGAGTCTAAGTAAGAGTGCCACATACTCAATCATCATAAAGTCTTCTATGATTGCTAGTACTCAAAGCATATTTTTAGAACAAATGACATCCATCGAACACAGAGAAAGATAGAGGCTTAATGTTTCGCCTCCCAACTCATTTATCATAGAGATAATTGTCAACAATAATAATTCATGATCAAATATATTTGACTGGTCATATGTGCCTACGTCTCCCTCCCGAGCCCCCCC